TGCTTATCTCTCTGTGTATTTCTCTCTGTGTATCTCTCTCCGTGTATCTCTCCGTGTATCTCTCTCCGTGTATCTCTCTCTCTGTATCTCTCTCTGTTTATCTCTCTCTGTGTATCTCTCTCTGTGTATCTCTCTCTCGGTGTATCTCTCTCTGTGTATCTCTCTCTCTCTGTATCTCTCTCTGTGTATCTCTCTCTGTGTATCTCTCCCTGTGTATCTCTCTCTCTCTCTCTCTGTATCTCTCTCTGTGTGTATCTCTCTCTCTGTGTATCTCTCTCTGTATCTCTCTCTGTGTATCTCTCTCTCTGTGTATCTCTCTCTGTGTATCTCTCTCTGTGTATCTCTCCCTGTGTATCTCTCTCTCTCTCTCTCTGTATCTCTCTCTGTGTGTATCTCTCTCTCTGTGTATCTCTCTCTGTATCTCTCTCTGTGTATCTCTCTCTCTGTGTATCTCTCTCTCTCTGTATCTCTCTCCGTGTATCTCTCTCTCTCTGTATCTCTCTCCGTGTATCTCTCTCTCTCTGTATCTCTCTCCGTGTATCTCTCTCTCTCTGTATCTCTCTCCGTGTATCTCTCTCTCTCTGTATCTCTCTCCGTGTATCTCTCTCTCTCTGTATCTCTCTCCGTGTATCTCTCTCTCTCTGTATCTCTCTCCGTGTATCTCTCTCTCTCTGTATCTCTCTCCGTGTATCTCTCTCTCTCTGTATCTCTCTCCGTGTATCTCTCTCTCTCTGTATCTCTCTCCGTGTATCTCTCTCTCTCTGTATCTCTCTCCGTGTATCTCTCTCTCTCTGTATCTCTCTCCGTGTATCTCTCTCTCTCTGTATCTCTCTCCGTGTATCTCTCTCTCTCTGTATCTCTCTCCGTGTATCTCTCTCTCTCTGTATCTCTCTCCGTGTATCTCTCTCTCTCTGTATCTCTCTCCGTGTATCTCTCTCTCTCTGTATCTCTCTCCGTGTATCTCTCTCTCTCTGTATCTCTCTCCGTGTATCTCTCTCTCTCTGTATCTCTCTCCGTGTATCTCTCTCTCTCTGTATCTCTCTCCGTGTATCTCTCTCTCTCTGTATCTCTCTCCGTGTATCTCTCTCTCTCTGTATCTCTCTCCGTGTATCTCTCTCTCTCTGTATCTCTCTCCGTGTATCTCTCTCTCTCTGTATCTCTCTCCGTGTATCTCTCTCTCTCTGTATCTCTCTCCGTGTATCTCTCTCTCTCTGTATCTCTCTCCGTGTATCTCTCTCTCTCTGTATCTCTCTCCGTGTATCTCTCTCTCTCTGTATCTCTCTCCGTGTATCTCTCTCTCTCTGTATCTCTCTCCGTGTATCTCTCTCTCTCTGTATCTCTCTCCGTGTATCTCTCTCTCTCTGTATCTCTCTCCGTGTATCTCTCTCTCTCTGTATCTCTCTCCGTGTATCTCTCTCTCTCTGTATCTCTCTCCGTGTATCTCTCTCTCTCTGTATCTCTCTCCGTGTATCTCTCTCTCTCTGTATCTCTCTCCGTGTATCTCTCTCTCTCTGTATCTCTCTCCGTGTATCTCTCTCTCTCTGTATCTCTCTCCGTGTATCTCTCTCTCTCTGTATCTCTCTCCGTGTATCTCTCTCTCTCTGTATCTCTCTCCGTGTATCTCTCTCTCTCTGTATCTCTCTCCGTGTATCTCTCTCTCTCTGTATCTCTCTCCGTGTATCTCTCTCTCTCTGTATCTCTCTCCGTGTATCTCTCTCTCTCTGTATCTCTCTCCGTGTATCTCTCTCTCTCTGTATCTCTCTCCGTGTATCTCTCTCTCTCTGTATCTCTCTCCGTGTATCTCTCTCTCTCTGTATCTCTCTCCGTGTATCTCTCTCTCTCTGTATCTCTCTCCGTGTATCTCTCTCTCTCTGTATCTCTCTCCGTGTATCTCTCTCTCTCTGTATCTCTCTCCGTGTATCTCTCTCTCTCTGTATCTCTCTCCGTGTATCTCTCTCTCTCTGTATCTCTCTCCGTGTATCTCTCTCTCTCTGTATCTCTCTCCGTGTATCTCTCTCTCTCTGTATCTCTCTCCGTGTATCTCTCTCTCTCTGTATCTCTCTCCGTGTATCTCTCTCTCTCTGTATCTCTCTCCGTGTATCTCTCTCTCTCTGTATCTCTCTCCGTGTATCTCTCTCTCTCTGTATCTCTCTCCGTGTATCTCTCTCTCTCTGTATCTCTCTCCGTGTATCTCTCTCTCTCTGTATCTCTCTCCGTGTATCTCTCTCTCTCTGTATCTCTCTCCGTGTATCTCTCTCTCTCTGTATCTCTCTCCGTGTATCTCTCTCTCTCTGTATCTCTCTCCGTGTATCTCTCTCTCTCTGTATCTCTCTCCGTGTATCTCTCTCTCTCTGTATCTCTCTCCGTGTATCTCTCTCTCTCTGTATCTCTCTCCGTGTATCTCTCTCTCTCTGTATCTCTCTCCGTGTATCTCTCTCTCTCTGTATCTCTCTCCGTGTATCTCTCTCTCTCTGTATCTCTCTCCGTGTATCTCTCTCTCTCTGTATCTCTCTCCGTGTATCTCTCTCTCTCTGTATCTCTCTCCGTGTATCTCTCTCTCTCTGTATCTCTCTCCGTGTATCTCTCTCTCTCTGTATCTCTCTCCGTGTATCTCTCTCTCTCTGTATCTCTCTCCGTGTATCTCTCTCTCTCTGTATCTCTCTCCGTGTATCTCTCTCTCTCTGTATCTCTCTCCGTGTATCTCTCTCTCTCTGTATCTCTCTCCGTGTATCTCTCTCTCTCTGTATCTCTCTCCGTGTATCTCTCTCTCTCTGTATCTCTCTCCGTGTATCTCTCTCTCTCTGTATCTCTCTCCGTGTATCTCTCTCTCTCTGTATCTCTCTCCGTGTATCTCTCTCTCTCTGTATCTCTCTCCGTGTATCTCTCTCTCTCTGTATCTCTCTCCGTGTATCTCTCTCTCTCTGTATCTCTCTCCGTGTATCTCTCTCTCTCTGTATCTCTCTCCGTGTATCTCTCTCTCTCTGTATCTCTCTCCGTGTATCTCTCTCTCTCTGTATCTCTCTCCGTGTATCTCTCTCTCTCTGTATCTCTCTCCGTGTATCTCTCTCTCTCTGTATCTCTCTCCGTGTATCTCTCTCTCTCTGTATCTCTCTCCGTGTATCTCTCTCTCTCTGTATCTCTCTCCGTGTATCTCTCTCTCTCTGTATCTCTCTCCGTGTATCTCTCTCTCTCTGTATCTCTCTCCGTGTATCTCTCTCTCTCTGTATCTCTCTCCGTGTATCTCTCTCTCTCTGTATCTCTCTCCGTGTATCTCTCTCTCTCTGTATCTCTCTCCGTGTATCTCTCTCTCTCTGTATCTCTCTCCGTGTATCTCTCTCTCTCTGTATCTCTCTCCGTGTATCTCTCTCTCTCTGTATCTCTCTCCGTGTATCTCTCTCTCTCTGTATCTCTCTCCGTGTATCTCTCTCTCTCTGTATCTCTCTCCGTGTATCTCTCTCTCTCTGTATCTCTCTCCGTGTATCTCTCTCTCTCTGTATCTCTCTCCGTGTATCTCTCTCTCTCTGTATCTCTCTCCGTGTATCTCTCTCTCTCTGTATCTCTCTCCGTGTATCTCTCTCTCTCTGTATCTCTCTCCGTGTATCTCTCTCTCTCTGTATCTCTCTCCGTGTATCTCTCTCTCTCTGTGTATCTCTCTCTCTCTGTGTATCTCTCTGTGTATCTCTCTCTCTGTGTATCTCTCTCTGTGTATCTCTCTCTCTCTGTGTATCTCTCTGTGTATCCCTCTCTGTGTATCTCTCTGTGTATCCCTCTCTGTGTATCTCTCTCTGTGTATTTCTCGGTGTATCTCTCTCTGTGTATCTCTCTCTGTGTCTCTCTCTGTGTATCTCTCTCTGTGTATCTCTCTCTGTGTATCTCTCTCTCTGTGTATCTCTCTCTCTCTCTGTGTATCTCTCTCTGTGTATCTCTCTCTGTGTATCTCTCTCTCTGTGTATCTCTCTCTGTGTATCTCTCTCTGTGTATCTCTCTCTGTGTATCTCTCTCTGTGTATCTCTATGTATCATTGTTGTATGTGACGTATCATATGTATAAAAACAAAAAGTAACAATGTGACACGCCCTGCTCCCTAAAAGTGGGAACTCTCAGCCCTGGCAGCGTATTCGGTGCTTTGCGCCCATTCAGGGAGCTCCGTCCTTCAGTGGGAAGTGAATCTGAAGCGTCACATTCTTCCAGAGGAAGTTCTGCTGTTTGTTCAGAACCAACAGGAAGCCCATATTGAATAGACAGGGGGAACTCCGGGATGGAACTAGATGCTGCTCTGGCCTAATACAATGACCCCCCTGGATGCTGGAAGTGTAACATTACCCAGAAGGCCGAGCGAGGGAAACCTGTGCGGGCTATTTATAGATTTCTGGCTCCTATAAAGAACTGGAAGCAAATAAAGAAAACAAATCAGCAATGTGGAAAATAGATTAAAAGACAAACAGCCGGAGCGCAGCTGTCCTTGTGGAGGACGGATCGCTGCAAGACGGAGGGTCAGTCACTGCGCTGCCGCACTGCAGCCTGCTGTTCACTGAGGGTGAGAGAAAAACAATTCCAGGGATGGCCTTGTATTTTTTCATTTAGAATTTATGCATTTCACTTAATCTCCCCAACCCTTCGCAGGGATGGCTGAACCCCAGGAGCTCACAATCTAATAACCAGTCATACTTGCTCACATTAGCGTTACTTTGCTTCAAAGACAACTAGCCTAACAGCCTGATTTTGGACTTCTTGAAGACAAACAAATCTCTCTGAAGATATTGAAACAGCTTGAATTGAATCAAACCGATGGTTGTTTACAGAGTCCTGAAGCTCAATCGGACAAATTGCACGAAACAGTGCTTAAGTGAGAGCAGCGCCTCTTCTCTTTTCACATGGCTCCCTCCATGTCAATCAGACAAAGCATGCCTCAAAGCAGGCAGCATCTGCTATCCAACTAATTCCTGAAACTTATCTTTGTTCGGAATATAACTCTCATCATCCCAGTCATGTGCTCCTACCTGACGTTGTCATGTTTCTGGATGTAGATCTTGTGGAACATCATATCTTCCTGCTTGGCGTTGATGTCAGCCTTCATCTCCATGGCGACATGACGGGGAAGTACGGACAGCAGCAGCCGCTCCTGGCGGGTGAAATAAAACAATAAAACACCAATACTGTACAATAGACCTTGACAGGCACCGCCTCCCCCAACGAACTCAAGTCCTGTCCAGTCCAATATATTCTAAATCCTGAATAACACTGTCACTGACCACGCCCACGAAGCACGACATCAGAGTAAATGGTACCTTGGTGGGGGGCGGAGTCTTCATGTGGTTGTGGGGTTCAGCAGGCAGAAGGGCTCACCTCAATCTGGGTGCCCCCTTTACATCGTTCAGCAATATAGATCCTTATCAATCACGATGCCCGGCCCCTCGCTGACTCAATAAAATAAAAAATCCCTGCCGGCCACTGCCCTGTCTGCACTTGACTAACACCAGCCGCAAATGACAGCTCTGCCCCCGGGATGTAAACAAAGGGGTGGAGCAAGCCAGTCACCTCATCTTTGTTTACATTCCATTAGGGGATCGGGAGCTGTCATGGAATGTAATGAAAGGTGTGGGGGCAAGTCCTGCGACATCACTTGGCCTGCTCCTCTCCTTTGTTTACATTCTGGGGCAGAGCTGTCACTTGCAGCCGGAGTTCACCGGGCACGGACGTGGCTGCGTGCCGCGGGTGATTTTTTTTCTTTTTTGTCCAGTCAGCGAGCGGCGGACATCTTGATTGACGTGGATCTACGTCGCTGGACGACGTGATTGATAACCGACATTTTTTTTTAATAATAAAGAAATTGACAAAACTGTGTGCTGAGGGTATATACTATGTTGCTGTGTATTTGGTGAATGATTCGGGGGAACAAGTTACAACTACCCCTTACTCATTCACGAGGGGGAGGGGTGGCATCTGGGCGCACCCGGATTCAGATAAGCCCCCCCCTGCCTGCAGACCCCAAAACAGCACCCGGCCAGGGTTGTGGGGAAGAGGCCCTTCTTCTCATTGGCATGGGGACCCTGCTCCAGGTGAGAGTATGTGGCCAGGTATGGTGTGGGGGGGGGGGGGCACAATCACCCCCCTTCCCCTTTTTTTCTTTCAAGTTTAACATATCAGTTCATTCCGAATGTCATTCAGACAAGATTCGGATGCATCCAACTTTTCGTTATCAAAAAATTTGGATACGTCTGAATTCGTTATTTTGCCGTTCGGAAATGAAGATGCATCCGAATGTCGGAACGAAACTAAAAAACCTACATGTCTGATATAATGTAACAGAAACCTGAAATAAAGGCCAGAGAACAGTGTGCGAGGGGGGAGGGGAAGACTCTGCTGCTCCCGGGTTACATACAAACAATGATACATTGTAACAGACTCGGGATAAAAGGGGGAGGGGCTGATAAATGAGTGACACAGAGGCCGTCCAGTAGTGTGCGGGGAGGAGGAGGGGGACGCTCTCTGTTCTCAGGTTATATTCCACCAAAAATGTAACCATAACACAGAGGAAGAAGACTCATTGCTAGGGGCCCATCATGGCCGGTCACTGGAAAGGCGACTAAGGGGAGGGGG